CATGAGGAACCTCCTAGTTTCGAAGAAAATTGACTTGGCTTTCCTTAACAGCCATTGACTTTAAGTAACTCAAGAACACCTCCCCTCTCTATGCTTGAACATTTAACTGGCTTGGTCTTGTGGAGGTCTTGTAGAGGTAGGGTGCAAGGGTTCATGCAACAGGGGTTCATGTGTGCAGCAGCCACGTCATGAGCGGAGGACAACATTTCACCACTCTCCCCCGTCCTTCAGCTCTTACATTTTTTTTCTAGCTCTAGTCCATGATGTTCCCTGAGCCGCTGGGGTGCAGTTTGATGTGGATAGCTCATCTATGGCTGAACACTTACAGTCAATTATTATCATCAGTGAGATTTTTAAGACATGGGTTACCATGTCTTCTGGGAAGAGCACTATTTACCAATGTGGGGTACTTCTATTCAAACGCCATAAAACCCATAATCTTAAACTAGCTTACAAGTTAGTTTCTTTATATATCCTTTGTGTTGGTTAACTCACCCTTTACTAACCCTCATTTTCCTCCCTCCCTGTCTCCATCTCCCTCTTGAGTTTTTAGCTCCCTGTATGCTCCTTCTGTTCTATCGTATCATACATTATTTACTTTTTAACTTATTATATTTGTTTTGTTTTACCTGGTGTATCAGTTTGTTTTCTATTGCTGTGATTAAAACATCATGACCAAAAAGCAACTTGGGGAGGAAAGGGTTATTTGGCTTACAAGTTCTAATCACAGTCCATCACTGAGGGAAGTCAGGGCAGGAACTCAAGGCAGGAAACTGGATGCCTACCAGTTTGCTCTTTATGGCTTGCTCAGCTTTCTTATGCAACTCAGGACCACATACCCAGGGGTGGACTGATTCCTTCCACATTAATCATTAATCAAAGAAGTGTCCCACAGGCTTGCCTACTGGCCAATCTGATGGAGGCATTTTCTCAATCAAGCTTTCCTATTTCCAGATGACACTAGATATGTCAAGTTGACAAAACCTAACCAGCACAATTGACCCTTTGTTAACTTAGCACACAAATACAGCACTATTAAACCATAACTCCCCTCTTTTTTATACTCAAGATATTATGTTAATATCACAATTTATAGCAGTGTAATTTTAAAAGTCCTGTAGTCTTAAAAAAAACTCAAACACAGCTAGGTAGCAGTGGTGTTTGCCTTTAATTCCAGCACTTGGGAGGCAGAGGCAGAGGCAGATGGATCTCTGTAAGTTCAAGGCCAGCCTGGTTTACAGAGTGAGTCCCAGGTTTCTGTTGCTGTGATGAAACACCATGACCAAAAAGTAAGTTGGAAAGAAAAGAGGTTAATTTATGCTTCAGCATTGTTGTTCATTAGTGAAGGAAGTCAGGACAGGAACTCACACAGGGCAGGATCCTGGAGGCAGGAACTGATGCAGAGGCCATGGAGGGGTGCTGCTTACTGGCTTGTTTCCTATGGCTTGCTCATTCTGTTTTCTTATAGAACCTAGGAGCAGCAGCCCGGTGATGGCACTACCCACCATGGGATGGGTGTCCCCCACTGATCACCGAGAAAATGCTTTATAGCTGGATTTCATGGAGGCATTTCCTCGACTGTGGCTCCTTCCTTTCTGATGACTCTAGCTTGTGTCAAGTTGACACACAAAACCAGCCAGTACAACCTGTCTTGAAAAACCAAAAATAAAAAAATTCAAACACATTAAAAGTTCATTCTCTTTCAAATAGCTAACCACATGTTTTCAAAAGTCTGGTCTCTCTACTGTAAAACTTTATAAAACAAAAAATAAGTTGCATGCATATTCTAAAAGAGAAGGATATAGGCACAGTTACAATCAAATTAAAGCAAATTTAAATTCCAACAGTGTAAACAATTCAGTGTCCAGTGTCTGGAATTAACTCGCAATCTTTGGGTTCTAAAAGTCCTAGGAAGTTCCATTTCTCTCACCCACAGCACATACAGCATATCTCATGGGTTCAGGCTGGCTCCACTCCACAGCTGCTCCTGTCCTTGGTGGACATGCCACAGCCCTGGCATCTCCAATGTCCCAGGGTCTCCATTACAACTGAGGCTATACTTTCACCTATAATAGCCTCTCCTGACCTCTCTTCAGTGACTCAAATCTGGCCACATGGTGCTAAGTCTTAGCTTCTCAAACATAACCCCTTCACTATTGGGGTATCCATTGCAACTGAGGCTGCACCATTGTAGGATTTTAGCAGAGTCGCTGTATCTGGGGCAGACATTAGAATGAATTGTTTTTTAGAAGTACTTTGACCTTGAAGAATCATTGTGGAAAACAGTAAAAGATCTTTGTGGAAAACAATGGTTGTTTTCCATGATTTATAGAATTGTTTTACTGAAGGGGTATTACACTCTTCTCATGTTTTGGTCACAAGACACCTCTGGCACACCTGAGGCTCTTTGATTATTGTGTATTGCAAACAATACACAGTAAAGGACTAAGGTCGAGGTTGGGGATTGAGCTCAGTGGTGGAGTGCTTACCTAGCAAGCACAAGGCCCTGGGTTCCATCCTCAGCTCCGGGTGGGGGATAAAAAAGACAAAATAACAAAAAGGACTAAAGTCATGAGGGTATGTGATGCTTTCCTTTAGAGAGGCATATAGATTGAATTAGAGACCATGGTATGAGGAAATACTTTACCCCAAAAAACAATCAATAAATCTGCCTTTGTGCGGCTGTTCGGGGTTCAGTGCACTGGAGAGGCTGGACCTTCCTGCTGCCACATAGGCCTTAACATTTCATCTTGGAGTGCCTTCTGTCTTCCACTGGCCCACACTACACAGAACACCCCGACAGAGCACCTTCACCAATGGCCTCTACTGACCTCTTAAAATGCCATGCTCTTCATGACCCCTTCAATCTTGTAACTTTCATGTCACCAAAACTAATACTACGTGGGAGACTCTAATACATTACCAAGTTTGACTTCCAGCTTGAGATGCAGCTTTGGACCCCCACTGGCTCACAGCTTCTATGGGCTGACACTGAGAAAATACTCTCAGAATAGTTCGCCCCAATAATGCTCGTCTCTTCTTATTCACAGCTGATTTTTCATCTCCAGATAACCAGTATATATTGTCCCAGTAAAGAAAAATATTCACTTCAATGATACTTGTCTCTTGTTAATGACAGCTGAGTCTGTGTCCCAAGCTGACTGGAAACTACAGAATGTTAATACAAAGTATCACAGGATTAAAGTCTTTGAGAGACTATCAAGTTTCCCTCTGAAATGTCACAAACCAGGACTCCATTGACTGAATTGCTCTCAGGAGTCTTATCTTTCAAGCTTCCAAACATTCCCATTAATCTCTGAGCACTAATGGATCTTCCAGCCCAAGTTCTAAACACTTCCACAATCCTGCCCAAAATACCATGGGCAGGTTTGTCCCAGCAATAGCACAATCTCTGGCACAAATTTATGTATTTGTTTGTTTTTTATCTGTGTGGGTATAACATCATGACCAAAGAAACTTGAGGAGGAAAGGGTTATTTGTCTTACAAATTCCAATGACAGTCCATCAATGGAAATTCAGGACAGGAACTCAAAGTAGGAACCTAGAGGTAGGAGCCTGGAGACAGGAACTGAAGCAGGGGTTACAGATGAATGCTGCTTAGTGGTTTGCTCTCCATTGCTTGTTCAGTCTGCTCTCTTATATAATCCAGGGCTACTTTGCTAGCAGTGACACTGTCCCCAGTGGGGTTGTCCCTTTTATTTCAATCTTTAATCAAGAAAATGTCCCACAGGCTTACCTACGGTCTAATCTGATGGTAGTTCCTCTTCCAACTTGACTCTAGCTGTCTCAAGTCGATAAAAACACAGCCAGCATACTTGGTTGCATCTTCCCTTGGTCCCATTTTACCTATTACCGTCATTCTACTATCCACTCAAAGCCTTCTGCTCCCAGTATTCGCCCTCTCCACTTTTATTTCATCTATATTCTATTGTCTGTGTCATTAACTGCACCACCCTTGCCAAGGACCAATCTCTATTTTGTTGGTTTCCACATGTAATCTCTGTATACACAAATAATTTCAAGATAAGTCCCATAAATGAGAAAGAATATGAGTTCTTTGCCATTTGGGGCTTGAGTAACCACACTTAGTATAGTTTTTTCCAGTTACATCCATTTACGTACAAATTTCAGTTCACTTACCTTTAGGGCTTAGGAAATTTCATTATCTGTCCATCAGTTAATAGACACCCAGGTTTATTCATTTTCCTAGCTATTGCAAATAGAGTAGCAATGAACATGGATGTGCAAGTACCTCCATAGTAAGATATAAAGGTCTTTGAGTGCATACCTAAGAGTGGGCATACCTAGTTCATATGGTAGATGTATTTCCAGGTTTTTGAAAGACCTCCAAACTGATTTCCATAGCGGCTTCATTAGTACACACTCCCAGAAACAGTGTGAGGTGGTTTGAATAAAAAGTCCCCCATAGGCCCATATATTTGAATGCATAGTTATCAGAGAGAAGCACTATTTGAGAAGGATTAAAAGGTGTGACTTTGTTGGAGGAAGTGTGGCACTGGGGGTGAACTTTGAGGTTCTAAAATCTCCCACGAGGCCCAGTGTTATTCTCTGTGCATTGACCAATATGTAGCTCTCAGCTACTGCTCCGGTGTCTGCCTGTATGTCACCATGCTTCCTCTTTGCCATGGTGATAAAGGATGAAACTTCTACAGCTGTAAGCAAGCCTCAATTAAATGCTTTATTTTATAAGATTTGCCTTGCTCATGGTGTTCCTCATCACAATAGAACAGTGACAAGACAGAAGTGGTACCAGGGACTAAGGTATTGTTGTGGTCTGCCTGACCATGATGTTTGTTGGAGGAATATGAAAGACTTTGGGACTTTTGATTAGAAAGATAGTTGGGGGGCTGGCGCAGGGCCCAGCCGGGAGCCTCAGCCCCGGCCTCGCGCGATCGTCGGGCGGGGCACAGGCGCGGCCTCCTGTGGGCCCTTGATGCGGTTGAGGCGGTGCGGACCACGGCGGAGCCCGCCCGGCGGCGGGTGCGGTAGGAGGCGGCGGGGCCGCGGGCCCGGGCTGGTGACTGTGGCGCCCTTAGGATGGACGCCCTAGAAGAAGAGAGCTTCGCGCTGTCCTTCTCCTCCACCTCTGATGCAGAATTTGATGCTGTGGTTGGGTGTTTAGAGGACATTATTATGGATGACGAGTTCCAGTTACTGCAGAGGAACTTCCTGGACAAGTACTACCAGGAGTTTGAAGACACAGAAGAGAATAAACTCACCTACACCCCCATTTTTAATGAATATATTTCCCTGGTAGAGAAGTACATTGAAGAGCAGCTGCTGGAACGTATCCCAGGCTTCAACATGGCGGCTTTCACAACGACACTGCAGCACCATAAGGATGAAGTGGCTGGTGACATCTTTGACATGCTGCTCACATTCACGGATTTTCTGGCTTTCAAGGAGATGTTCCTGTACTACAGAGCAGAAAAGGAAGGCCGAGGACTGGATTTAAGCAGCGGCTTGGTAACTTCTCTGTGCAAGTCCTCTTCTACACCAGCTTCCCAGAACAACCTGCGGCACTAGGTCCCACCTTCAGACATGAGTGTGATCACTATGAGGTCACCTGCCCAGCCGGCTCAGAGAAACATGGGCTGCTGATGACAGATGCATCTTCATTCATGTGAAGTTTTGATGAGTCCTGGAAAACATGACCGACGCTCCTGGCCCTTGTCCAGAAACACCATGTAGTCAGTAACCTCCATGTTCATCCCTCCCGTCCCAATACAGGCACCTCCCCCAGGTGCTTCAGAGTGACTCCTGGAGCAGGCCCCCTGTGGCCACCTGACCTGGGGGCCTCCCCAAGCAGTGTGCTAGTGTAGTGTGTCATCAGTGTGGACAACACACCCTCATGAGCCCTTCATCCCGGCAGACTTTACATGAGTCCTTGTGCACCTGTTTTTACGTGGGTCAGTATCAGTTCTCAGCCTCAATGGGGTTTTTGTTTGGGAGTGTTTATCTAGGGAGTTCCTGGGGCCAGCTGTCCTGATTTCTGAGTCTTCTGTGACTACAGCTTGCCTGGCTGTAGGAATCAATGAGAGATGTCCTCTACCCCAGTGAAAAGGAACTCCCGTCTTACATCAGCATCCTTTCCACACAGTTCTGCTGCTCTTGCTGCAGGCCCATCGTTCCTCTAAGTCTCTAAGCATTCTTTTCAAGAAACATTTTTATAGATGAAAACTCAGGCTAACCTAGTGAGTATGATCTTGGAAAGCCCACAATCAACCACTTCAAAGATCAAAGTATTATATGCTGTGTGCTTCTTAGTTGTGAGTGCTGTGCGTGCAAATCTGCTTTCCGATTAGTGCACCAGTACAAACAGGATGTATGCTAGAAACAGGCTGCAACCCTGTCACAAGTGTGCTAGGTGTGCTTGTGCATGCTTGTCTGCAGCCCTGTCACAAGTATGCTAGGTGTGCTTGTGCGTGCTTGTCTGCAGTCCATTGTGCAGGCCAGTGAGCTGGGTTTGCTGTTGGGAGAGTAGGTTGTCTGCAATTTGTTCCCGTAACAGTCTCTCCTGCCAGGGTGATGCTCCCCTGATCCAGCTCCGCCTCGGGGAGGGGCAATACAGTTTTTCAGTCACCTGTTATCTTTGGTGGACTGTCACCAACCAGAAAGCATGTGTGTCACATCTCTAGAAAGAAGAAAACGGTTCAATTCCTAATGTATACTTTTTACTTTAACTTTTATAGTAAAAATAAGAATCCACGCTGACTTCCCATGTGACCATTCTGATTTTACAGGATACAAGCTAAGCACTGTGTTTTTTCTGTAGCAATGTGTCATTTAGTGCTTTTGTAAAATGAGTAAAATTTGAGGTGTTTGGCAAGAATCAAAAAAAAAAAAAAGAAAGATAGTTGGATACTTAAAGCAAGGTTTACTGGGCCATCTTAGTAGGAGCATGGAAAACAGTACTGAGAGTGATTTGAACTGTGGGGGCCCAGCTCAAGATATTAGTAAGCAGCATAGGGACCATTCTTGTGACATTTTGGCAAAGAATGTGGCTGTCTTTTGACCTTGTCCTAAAACTCTGTCTATGGGTTTTCTTGTGATGTCCTTGATCCCCCTGGCTGGCACAATTCTTCCTCCCTCTCTTCAGCAGGATTCCCCAAGTTCAGCCTAATGCTTGGCTGTGGGTCTCTGCATCTGTTTCCATCAGTTACTGGATGAAGGCTCTCTGATGACAATTGGGGTAGTCACCAATCCATAGGTATAGTAGAATATCATTAGGCATTATTACATTGACCTTTTTTCTCTAGTCATGTTTGATTCTATCCTAGGTTTCTGGGACATCAAGCCTGTGGGTCCTGGTGCTCCAGGCAGTGTGAGGGGTGGGCTCGCTCTAGAGGCATGGGTCTCAGGCTGGACCAGTCATTGGCTGGCCACTCTCACAATCTCTATGACATCCTAACCCCAGCACATCCCACAGGTAGGACAGACTGTAGGTCAAAGGTTATGCAGCTGGGTTGAAGTCCCAATCCCTCCACTGGAAGTCTTGACTGGTCACAGGAGATGGCCAGTTCAGGCTACATAGTATCCACTATTGCTGGGAATCTTAGCGGGGGTCGTCCTTGCAGATTCCTGAGAGTTTCCCTTGCATCAGGTTTCTCTCTGACCCTGAAATGACTCCCCCCCTTTTCCAGTCATCTCTGTCAATATTTGCCCCACTTCTTGCACAGCAACTTCCAGAATGGGAGGAGGCAGGAAGACAGATGGAAGCATGGGGAGAACTGTGAAAAAAAGGCCCACTTATCACATGTACAAATCATGAAACAGATCATGGCTCAAACCGTGAAAGCATTCCAAATGGCCAGAAAGGAGAAGTAAAATGTGTGACTTCTCACCACTTCACTTCTTTCACAGGCCCACCAGCCAGGAGGCACCCCTTGGGAAGTCATGATTGTACCAGGGCACATAGACGCTTCTGCAGGCCTCCAGGTAGAGTTCTCTGGCAGAGTCCATGATCCCCAAAGGCTAATCACTTGAAGTAGCATGTGCCTTTTGCCATGAGGATTTATTCACTAAGTGCCCAAGGAAGTGAGCCTCGTGGATCTGCTTGTGGACATCCAGGGATGAATGTGGTGAAAGTGAGGGTATGGGGGCTCTTCAGTCCTGGCCTCTCTGGCTCATGGCTGCCACAGGCAAAGAATCCAGGAGACAATGTGCAAAGTAACTCTTTATTATGGAAAGGAACAGGCATCACTGGGGGAAATACACAGAGCAATTGACCCCTGGGGTGGCTGTGTTACCCGGCCTACATGTTTAACTTTGGCTGTGTGGTCAGCCAGGCTTACAGCTGGAGTCACGGGCAAGGCTTCAGAAACAAGGAAAGAAAGGAGAGTGTATACAAGAGGAAGGTGACATCCAGGGGCTCCTTTTAAGTCATCTGTCCGAAGAATTCCCTTGGGATCTTGCTCTGGGTCTGGAGCAATTGAGATGAGATGTCAGAAGAGCCCAGTGCACTGAGTTCAGTCCCCTGGTCACCTAGACTCCATCTTGCTTAAGGCTCCAGAGACATCCACCTGCTACCCAGTTGATTCCCAGACCTCACCTGCAGCATAGTGAAGACCTCAGCAGCTCTGGCATAGTCCCACTTGTTGTCCTCAAGGCACCTGAGGTGGGAGAAGGACAGGCGACCTCTGTTACCACCACAGGACATGTGCACTGGCCACAAATGCCATCACTTAACCTATGGTACTCATTTGCTGGGACATGTGCGCCAGATGTAGCACCCTAGTAATAGTGGAGAAAGACCTGGTAGAACCCACAACATCTGTCACCATTCGTGCTCAGAAGAATTCAAAGCAGAAACACAAGGGTATGCCTAAGAATAGTGAAGCTTCATACCAACACCCCATACCCCAACTAATGGAGAAGCTCAAGAAAAATAAGAAGTGGAAATTCAAAAGCAAATTCTCCCCCCATAATATGGTGCATCTTGGGGTATTTACCATTTCAAGTGCACATCTCTCAGTCATTTTCTAGTACATTCACAAGACCCTGCAACAATGCCAACTAATTCCCAAACAGCTCTGTTGCTGCGAAAGAAAACTCAACTACTGGGACTCAGTCACTACTCTCCCATGTGTTCCAGAACCTGCAAGTTCTATTGTGCTTTCAATCTCTGCCAATTTCCCCCACCTACATAGTTTTAATAAATGCCCTTTAAAGATAAAACGCAGGGCTTTAGGTGATTGGCTTCATTCACTTAGCCCAGTATTTCCAAGTTTCAACCATGTCAGAACATACATCAGGGCCATATTCACTTTCATGATTGAACGATATCCCACTGTGATATGTACCATATTTCTTTATCCATCCATCTTCAAGGAGACAGTGGGGTTGTTTTGCCCACTCTAAATAACACTGCTCTAAGCATACAAGTTTTGGATGAAGTATGTTTTTGCTGCTTGTAGTCTGTACTCGGGCCATGTGGCAACTCCATGTGTAACATTTTGAGTATGTAGTATGACAGATCCTATACCCCCTGGTACCTATCTCCCTCTCTCTGTCTCTCTGTTTATCTCTCCCTCCTCCCTAGTGTGAGTTAGTAATCTCCTAAGCATCTCTCCATCCAATAAGGTGACACTCAAGATGACCTATGACAGCTTGATTTACATGTCTCACATGACTAATAGTGATGAGAAAAAACTGTATGTGCTTGCTGGCCATGTGCACATCTTCTTTGGAGAAACAGATATCTCTTCAAATCCTTCCCCAAATCTCAGTTGTGTTGTTCACCTTTTCTGTTATTGTTTAGTGAGGGTTCTTCCTATATTCTTATCAGCTGTGTGACATGCATGACTTTCTCTCATTCTGTCAGGCCTTTGCACTTCCCTGGCAGTAACTGGTGATGCACTGATTTGGGATGGAGTCCAATTCGCCAGCTTTTCCTTGACTGACTGGGCTTTTGGTGTCACAGACAATACTTGGCAACCTAATTCAATGCCATGGAGATTTATACCTATGCTTTGTTCCTTGGGAACTATAGTTGGAAAAACACTTAATTTTGGATCCCCTCTCCACACATGGCCAGTGTTGTGCACAGGGTGTGCAGGTGTGTGTTGGGGGTCAAAATTTACTGTTTTTGGAAGTGAACATTCAATTCTCTCAGTGCTGTGTGGAAGTCATAGGACCGTGTGGGGTGTGGTCCTGACACTTGAATAGCAATCGACTTATCCACCAACTCTTTTCCCATGCCCTCTTTTTTTTTTTTTTTTTTTTTTTTTACGTTTGTGCCAAAGTGCTTTATTCTTTTGGAAGCTGTTCTAAATGGGCTTACTTTTCTAAATTCACCCTTTGGGTATTTGTTACAAGTACACAGGAATACAATTGATTTCTGAATATCAATCTTACATCTTGCAGCCATGCTCAACAGTTCTAGGGGTTTAATATAATGGATTTCCCAAGTAGAGTGGGATGCCATTTGAGAAATGGACTATCTTTAAAAATTCTTTACATACCCTATTACAAAATGATGGTACTTTTTCAGTGTGCTCCTATCTTATTTTTTGTTTCAGGGACATTAATAAAATATAGACACTTCATTTTTTCATATGTTGTCTAAGATTCTATTGTTCACTCTTAAGTGCTTCCAACCCCAGCCCTTAGCCCATCCTGTCCACATTTATAGCAGGCACTCACTTCTGAGACCACTCGAGTTTCATCCCCGACTGGGTGGAGAAAGCCTGCACCATTCTTTGCTGCTCTTGAGAGAGGACGAACTTGAAGCCAGAGCATGATGTGGACGAGGGTATGGCAAAGGAATCCGGGATCTCATCAGGGCTTGGATGCCTCACAAAAAGTTGGTCATTCACAATGCACAGGCTGGAGGAAAATCAGTCCCTGAGACAACTGGACAGGTGGACAAAATCCTTCCACTGCTCCAGACAGGATCCTCTTTAACCACTGAGACCCAGCAACTGGAATCTTCCCATGTGCCTGTGTGATCTGCCTAGTCAAATCCCTGGCTACTGCCCGGAGACCACTCCCACCTCCTCTGAAAGATTGTCTACCAGCTTCATTGGATTTGGAGATTTAATCCCCATGCAGTGAGTCTACACAATAGAAAAAGAACCTGGTTCCCCTCATTTCATTTTCAGCAGGAGAATCAGGGTCTCCTGAGAGATCAGTTACTTAGGTCAAGGTGACAGTGGCTCTTAGGGTCAGAAAGAAAACTGGTATTCCAACCCTGCTCTTAACTGCTAGGCTTCACTGATCCTTTGATCTACCT